CCAGACCTGAGTACCTTCCGAGTGTCTGACCCGAAGCTGTACAAGCGGTTCATTTGGGCTGCCCACTGGATATCGGCCCATCACTTTCATTCTTAAAAAACACGATTCGAGTGACGTTATGTATAGTTGACAATGTGGTGCCACTTCTAATTTTGAATATGATGCTTCATCTGTAAAATTGATGGTTTCTATCTTTAAGTATTTTAATCATTTCTTCAAAATGTTCGATGATTCTTTAGTCAATAATTTACCCGTGCAACGCACGGGTACGAGTCTAGTTGGGGCAAAGTGGGAAGGGTAAGGCCCCGTTTGATACACGGAATTCAAACTATAGAATTGGAATTGGGAACTTCAATTCTAATTTTTGTGTTTGGTAGCACAAAAATTATGTGAATTTGGAATTGGTAGTGCAAAAAATGAATTGGAATTGATGAATTCAATTCTATAGAATTGAATCTCATGGAATTTCAATTCCAATTCAATTCCAATTCCATATACCAAACGGACCCTAAGGAAGGAAGATGATCTAAGTTGTTACCGTCATTAAAAACTCATCGCTTCCTGCCATTCGCAAACCCTAGTCCGACATAGTCACCAATAGAGAAAGACGATCTGAGGATTATCGTCAATCAAATGCTCTTTGATCAATTGAGTTTGAAGAGGGAAGATAGATGGAAGGAAGATTATAAGTTTATCTTCAATCGGAGATAAAAAGAAGACGAACGAGTCGATCAGAGAAAGTAGAAGAAATTCAGATCGAAGCTCTTATGCACTCTCCTAATGTGCTTCATCAATTATCAGCTTCTCCGAAAAATATTCATGGGACCCGTTCAATGGTCCTATATATACCATATTCTTAGGACTCGTTCGATGAGTTTTAGAATATTGATAAGAGATGTATTTTGAAATTAAAAAAAATAATAATATGTGTACTGAAACCTGAAATGAAAGTATTTGGAGGGATCTAAAATGATTATTCTTAGTGATAAGCAGGGATTTCCAGTGATGAGTGGTGGCCGAAAAGTTGTCGGCAATAACCGGATTGTACGTTTCAATGAGATGAGTTCAAGGGTGTATTCCATGTGTGAATCTGAGTTACGAAACTTAGTAACTCAACTGTCTTAAGAGTGAAAAGAAAATAAAAGTAAAAGAATATAATATAGTTTTGTCATAACAATAACTTTATGTATCCATTATTGGTGCCGTTAGATAGATCTCATGGGAAGATGACCAACAACATACTATTTGTCAAATTTGGACTTATGGACATAAATTATAAACAAAATAGATGTATATACATGCACAAAGTAGTGCGACACACGGAGTAATTGTTAGTTCCATGGTGTTGGCTAATCTTTTGGCAAAATAGAATCCCCATTTTTCGTTTATTTTTTGTTTGCCCCCCTTTTTTCTTTTACTCCCTCCGTCCAAGAATAATCTTCTTATTCTACACTTTTCTCCGTCCGAAAATAATCTTCCCATTCTACTCTTTAATCTCAATTCTTCCAAAAATACCCTCCTTCTCCTCCTTTTCTCCCACTCTTTCAGCTTTCCCTTTTTTTCCTCGGCCAGGCCACCACCCCCCTCCCCTTTTTTTCTTTTCTTTTCTCCTTATTCTCTCTCTCTCACCCTCCCCTTCTCTTTTCTCTTGGGTTTGTTCTTCTCCTTCTTCTTCATTTCTTCTTCCACTCCGTTCTCTCTCTCTCTCTCTCTTCCCCCCTTCTTCTTCGTCTTCTTCTCATCCTCAACCTTGTTCTTTTTCTTTAGATCTACGTCTTTGTGCCCCCCCTTTTCTTTTTCTTCTTCTTCTTCTAGATTTGTGCTAGCGGCCATAATAGAGCTGATGGGGGCGGTGAGAGCTAGATCTGGTAGATCTGTACTAGATCTTTTTCTTCTCGGTTTTCCCTTATTTTTGTGGCGAGGGATGAAAGAGATGGTGGGCGCTGGGGCTGGGGCAGTTGTCACCGGTGAGTCAACAGTGGATAGTGGAGCGGCGGTGGTGGCTGGGACAGCGGTGGGCTGGGGC